CACACACACACACACACACACACACACACACACACACACACACACACACACACACTCCTGATGTCTGGAGGTCAGAGGTCGCCCTTTAAAAGCAGTGTGTGTTTCCTTTGATCACACTTGTGAGTGTTTGTAAAGATGGAGTAGATTTAAAATGTTTCCTGCTTCCTCTCATCCCTCTCTTCTCTCCATCTTTGATTTTATTTCTTCTCCTTCTTCTTCTTCTGGGCCTCTCTAGCCTCCGTTCTTCTTCTCTGCCCTCATTCTCTCCTGCCGGCTGCCTCGGGTGTATCCTCAGATGTGTGAGGGCCAAAAAGCAGGGTTGTGTGAGGCTAGTGTGTGTGTGTGTGTGTGTGTGTGTGTGTGTGTTTGACCGACGTGCTAAATAGAACAAAATGGCCGTAGTGTTTGTCAGATGATGACATAAGGAACTACTTCCAAACCAATATCATACCATGTGCCACATTTCCACCAATGTTTATGTCATGTTTGTGTGTTTGTGTGCATGGGTTTGGGTCCAAAACCAACGTGCTAAATTGAGAAAAAAGTAGAAAGAAATCTAATCAGAGAAGCTAAAACAAGCATTTAGGTCTAAACCAGGACTAATCCCTCCTTCAACTCATTTCAGAACTAACTGAACCAATTTACGAACCTTAGTGTTTGACAGATATTGATTGACCTTAGGAACTACTTCCAAACAAAAGTCCTCTCATGTGCCGAGTTTCCACCTTTGTGTATATTCATATGTGTGTGTTTGTGTGCACAGGTTTGGTTCCAAAACCGCCGAGCTAAATGGAGAAAGAAGGAGAACACAAAGAAGGGTCCGGGGCGGCCTGCTCACAACTCCCACCCCACCACCTGCAGCGGCGAGCCCATGGACCCCGAGGAGATCCAGCGCCGGGACCGAGAGCGAGCCGAGAAGAAGAAGAGGAAGCAGGAGAGGAAGCTGCTGAAGTCGCAGAACAAACTCCTGTCAGGGGACAGCTTCCACACGCCGGGGGGCTCGGAGAGCGACAGCGGGGTCTCCCAGTTCACCGACAGCGAGCAGCAGTGTCCGAGCGTCAGTGGGAGTATTCACCTCGACCTGCCTGCCTCCAAATCTGCTGACCGAGGACACCCAACTGAATCCATCTGTGACCAAACACGACACGACTTCAGCCCACTACAGAACCACCAAAACCAAAGAACCGCAGGGGAACCGGAGCAGGTTTCTCCGGGCAGCTTCACGCTCAGCTCCAGCCCCGGAGGTCCCAGATCCTCCGCCCTGCAGAAACGAAACCCTTTCAGCGTGGAGAGCCTCCTCTCCGACGTCACGCCTCGACGGAAACCTCAGCTGGACTTCCCCTCGCTGCCCAGCCAGAGGACTCTCATAGGGAAAGGCCACTTCTTGCTTTACCCAATTACCCATCAGCCCTTGGGTTTTCTGGTGCCCCAAGCAGCCCTGAAGGCCTCGCCGTGTCTGGGACAGATGTTTGTGCCGAGTGAAGGAAGCCCTGACCTCTCCAGCTTTGTCTCTAAGCCTCTACACTCGGATCATACGGAGCACAACAATCACATTAGCAATAGAGCGGCTGGAGACAGAGGTGACTGCAGCAATGCAAGACTTCCTGTTTCTCCTCCGGCTAACAGTGAGGCTCAGGGCAGAGACATTAAGGAGGAAAGGAGTTTGAAAGTTCTCAGCAGCAATGCAAGATTCCCTGTTTCTCCTAACATTGAGGCTCAGGGCAGAGACATTAAGGAGGAGAGGAGTTTGAAAGTTCTCAGCAGCAATGCAAGATTCCCTGTTTCTCCTAACATTGAGGTTCAGGCCAGGCTCAGCTCCTCTCCGTGCAGAGACAGTATCGAGGAGAGGAGTTTGACAAATGGCTGCCAAGCTGCCGAGCTGCGTGCCGAAGAGAAGGGTGCGAGCGAGGCGTCTCCAGCCCTCTCCGAACGTCTCAAGGCAAACACAGACTGTCAAGAAACACCCGGAACAGATGGAGAGGATGTCGATATGGACTAACACTTTGCAAGGAGCGCAAACATAAACAAAGGACCAGGAACAACCGCTCAGACTATTCAAACATTCCCAAAGCTCTGCTGAGACACTTGGAAAAACATATCAGGAATCAGGAGACCTAATTCTCATCTATTTTTTAATCATCACGTGTGATCAATCCAGATGGCGCCCCTTTTAAAAAGCTAGTGGCTGTCTTCATATTTGTAGGCCTTTAGAAGCAGGTTCTTTCTCTTTTTTTAGTGACCTATTAAAATCTAGGCGACAATAAACATCTCACACACAACAAAAATCCTCAGATATTGTAAAAAAAACGAGATATTTATATGTAAACACTTTTGATAAATAAAGTTATTGTTTAAATTGAATCACTGTTTTTCTAGGAGCATATTGAAAAGGGGGTGGGGGTTGCTGTGTGGCAGAACCTTGGAGTTTTGTCGTGTTACAGCAGATAAATCCTCCTTTTTCTCTGTATAGGAGGCTCAAGTCCGTCTGGCTGTTTGTATTTATTGCTTTAACAAATTTATTCATTTGAAAGGCCGAGCTGGAATGAGGTTAGTGGCTGCGGGCTATAAGGACCCTGCGCCTCCTGCTGAGTTTTGATATGAAAGTAATTATTTTCCCACTGGCTGCCATGGCTCTGGAGGCAGTTTTTTTTTTCTTCATCCTCCTCCTCCTCCTCCTTTCAGCCCCAAAGGGTTATTAGACATTACCGATTTCTAGTGATACGGAATCACATAAACTTCCTACAATAATAGAATTAGCATGAAAGGCAGAGGGTGTCAAATTGAAATGGGGAAATAATAGCCGTGCCAGCTGCATCGTGTGTGTGTGTGTGTGTGTGTGTGTGTGTGTGTGTGTGTGTGTGTGTGTGTGTGTGTGTGTGTGTGTGTGTGTGTGTGTGTGTGTGTGTGTGTTTGGGGGTGTGTGTGCGCATATCTATTGAGGGGGAGGAGATGGGGGAGATTCGTGGGGCGGAATTTTCATGAGCTGCCTCGGTTGTCAGACGGCCCTTGTAGTCGGCTATATTAAGATAGATGTTCGATGATATCCCTCATTGTTCTGTCGCTTATATTGATGTTGCTGCGTTATCGCCCTATTGATCATGTGTCGCACATAATAGGACAGGCGCGCGCCCGTCTGCCGTGCGCCTTTTTCCACAAAAGCGCCCGAGCCCCTCGTCATTTGTTCTAATAGGACTGTGAGTCCCTGAGGGGGAGACAGATAAAGATATAGGAGAGGGAGAGGGGGAGAGGAGGCGAGTGGCTTGCATTAATATTTTTATAACCACTTTTTGGCTGAATAAAAGAAAGAGGAAGTGGCTGAATTAAAGATGTTTAGAAGAGACTATTTGCAGATGTGTGTTTTTATTCAAGGTATAGAATGAAAAGTGGGAGTTTTCCCCCCTAAATGAAAAAGTGCATTTATTTAAAGCCACTTAGACCTTAATCCTATTTATAGATCATAAACACTTAAAATAAACACACTTAAACACTGTTCCTTAACATTAAGTAATATTCTCGGATTGGAGAGGGAGAGAAGAGGCGAGGGCGTGCCAGGATTGCATTAATAAAACAAAATGTGAGTTGAAAGAGATTGAATTTAGGATGTTTAGAGACATGAGAGGAAACTCCCTTAATTGGCAAGTGTGTTGGTATTCAAGCTTAAAGTGAAAAGTGGGAGATTAAAGTCAATATACATGTAAAGGGAATTTTCTTCCAAAGTGAAATCATTCATGCATACAGTACACAAACAGTGTTCCTAAATACTAAGTAGTAATTTTTCTCTCAAAACAATATCAAAGTTAATTGATTAATGGCCAGTCAGCCAAACTTCACAGGTGTAATGATTGTCTTTAAAGGGAAATTGGCTGAATTAAATATGTTTAAAGACACAAGAAAGAGACTCCTAAATGTGCCGATGTGTGTTTTTATGTAAGGTTTGTAATGAAAAGTGAGAGATGTAACAAAAAATGAAGTGGGTTTTCCTTCAAAGTTAAATCATGCATTTCCTCTGGGTCACATCTTCAAAAATAACCGCCAAAATGTAATCAAATATTTGTTTTAAGTGAACATTTAAAGTGTCTTTAGGAAGTATGGAGTGGATATTCAACTTGATTTCGTTAGATTGTAGAGGTGTTCAAGCCTTAAATATTTCTTAAGCCACTTAGACCTTAATCCATTTATTTAAAGATCAGAAACACTAAAAGCTTAAGGGCATTTATAATGGCCAGTTAGCCACACTTAAATAAAGATGGAAAGTGGCTGAATTAAAGATGTTTAGGAGACTAAACTCCTGAATGTGGAGGTGTGTGTTTTTGTTGTTCCAAGGGTGAGAATGACAAGTGGGAGATTTAATCAATTATGAAGTGAGTTTCCCCCCTAAAGTGAAATAATGCATTTTGTTAAATCACTTAAATCTGAAGCCTCAATCCAAACACTATTTTCAATTCACTCTAAGCCTGTCAAAACTAAAAGGTTATTAAATAACAATAAGCTAATAGAAGTTTTAGACACAAATAAATAAAATACTTGAATAGCCAGTCAGGAGAAGAGGACTCTGCTAAATGTATTTGTGTTTTTATTTAAGGTTTAGAATTGTGAGATTTATCAAAAATTAAAGTGAGTTTTCCTCCTAAATCATGCATGTATCTTAAGCCACTTAGACCTTAACCCTTTCTATTTATGCATCAGAAACACCTACATCTAAGTTAAGAGAAGTATAAGAGAATAATAATAAGTCAAATACTTATAAAGGGCGGTGGTGGCGAAGTCCATAGGGACTTGGCTTGGCAACTGAAGGTCACCAGTTCAAGTCCCGGAAAGACCGAGGTGTCCCTGAGCAAGGCACTACTCTAACACTAGTATGGGTCAAATGCAGAGAAACCTTTTTCGTTAGTACCTGAAATGACAATACGTTCAATCTTCTTCAACTTGAATGGCCAGTCAGCCAAACGTAAGAGAAAAGAAAAGAAAACAAAGGAAAGAAACAAAGCAACAACAAAAAACAACAACACCAAAACATCACATAAGGAAAAGGAAAAAGTGCAACACCCTCATCTGAGTCCTACTGGAGAAGTTATGGTTACCTCTACAAAAAAAAATTATAGTATAAGAAAGGGGCTTACAGTAATTGAGGATGTTTTTAGAAATAATAAGAGACTCCTACATGTTGCAGGTGTGCTTTTTCCCCCCAAGGTTTAGAATGAAAAAAGGGAGTTTTCCCAAAAGTCACTTCCTCAGAAACACCTTCATCTTTTCAATTCAATGTTACTGTAGGCTTTGGATAATCTACTTCCAAATACTTTAATAGCCAGTAAGCAAAACGTTAGAGCTATTATGATATTATAAGACACATAAATAAGAAATTGGCTGAATTAAGGACGCTTTGGACAGAAGAGGACTCTCCTAAGTGTTTGTGCTCACACGTGCACTGTCTGGTCGTGAACGCGCGTCCGTTTAAGAAAGCGTGTGTTCAGCTCGTGAAGAGTAAACTCCACCAATTCCCTGGAAACTCAATTCCCAATTATTAAAACCATTAATTCTGTCCGTGTTGACAGCCCGGCTAAATATCCCTGATCCCTCCCGGTCACCTCGCCTTTATTTGCAAATAAATTGAGGGGGATCCGAGGGACAGGGCTTTACTGCGCCGACCCAAAATGAATTTCCGTGCCTGAGTCCCTTTAATAATATTTACATAATTTTCGCTCAGTGACTCTGCTATTTGCGCTGTAGGAAGCAGGGGGGGGGGGGCTTATAGGAAAATAATTAGACAGGAGCAGGAGGAGGATGGGTTAAAGCAGAACACTAAATTCCCAGACAGCTAAAATCAATGAAAGTAATAACCCTATTATTTAATTCATAAGGACATTATTTTCCCATAAGGCCTCGGGAAACGTCCCCTTCGACCGAAACAATCACATTAAATCCTTCATTCCGCGTGCACTGTGTGAAATTTCTACTTTTATTCTGGCTTTATTATAATCGGTTAGTTTCAAGAGTGCGATTAATTAGAAAAAATGGGTCTGATCTCCCTTCAGCAAGGCTTTTATAATATGTGTGTATATGGAGACACAGCGAGCTTTTATAATCAGCCTTTGTAGTAGATTAAGGGCGATTTTACAAATAATGAAATAGCGATGGGATAAAAGGGCTACTATTTAACTTTAAAACTACTTTGGACTTATAGAATAGGCTTCTATTGTATAAGAGGCAACATCTATGCACTTGGAAGATTCAACCAGAATGTAAAATATCATATTTACTAGCTTATATTCTCATATGTTCATTTTGACCTGCCTTTTGATTAAAGGCCTCAGGGAAGTGCATCCTTTATGTCAGTAAAGAAAAGAAAAAATACGATTCTATATTACTCTGAACTCAATTCAAGAGGTATAATCTAAAATATGATAGTTTTGTGCAAATAAGCTTAAGAAACATACTTTTATCAAGCCTACATGTAATTGTAGCTGCTCTTAGTATTGTTTTGGCTATAGCTGCGTGTGCATGCCAAAACAACGAGAATCCTAACCTTTCTTTGTCACTTTTGGGAAGAAAAAACAAATGTGTTTACTTTCAGTGCAAACATATGAGTCATCTGACTATGATCTTGCAGGCTTTTAGTTTAAAAATGATCTTTATGTTCTCTAAATGGCCCAGAGCCGCTGACAGAGGTTTCAGGCCCAGTGTGTGTGAGTATATCACGGTTTGTGAGATGCTCTCTTGGCTGCAGGCCCTGCGGATCAAAGCCTGTAAAGCCTGAAGACAAAAGCTGCTAATTTAGCCCGTGTCGGAGCAGAGGAGGCGATGGAGAGCCAGAGAAGGGTGGAGGGGGTTATATATAATAGCTTCTCGAAATTATAATTAATTGTGCAAATTTGTTTCTATTAAATAAAAATAACACGTATTGAAGAACTCAATTAGCGTTAATGAATCCTGCTTCTAAATTGCGTAAGGACGTTATTTCTCTGATGCTCTGGGTTCTTATTCCTCCTCTCTTGGAGGTTATAAGGCAGCCATTGGACTCTCCTCTCCTGTTTTTTTTCCCTTGGCTCCTCTTGAGAATTGGCAATGGGGGGGATGGAGACGGGGAATGTGGAAGGTGCTAAATTAGCTGGCTGATCCGCGCTCATTGCCGCATACACATCCCCCTATTACTGCGCCCGCGTGCCGCTTAATATTCCGGGCATGGCGGGCTGCGTCTAGATAGCAGATTTATCAAATGGGAAAATGAATGTATGATGATCAGTTAAATTGAAAATCAGCGCCCGGGTGACAGGCCGCTCTGACACCTCGGTAATTAGAAAGAAAAATGATGGCGTCCGAATGCATAATAGAGCAAAAACAATTTACGCTATCCCCCCACGCCGTAATGATCGCGCGTTCAAATTGAAAATTTCTCCCGGGTTGAAATTGAATTCATAAAGTGTGATGCATGAGCAGCACGGACCCAGCGGGGGTGGAGGGGGTGGCTGTCCGGTTCTGCTGGGGTTGATCGATTGGTCGTTTGTGTTGGAGCCACCAAACCATCTCTCTCTCTCTTTCTCTCTCTTTCTCTTTCTCTCTCTCTCTCTTTCTCTCTCTTTCTCTGTCTCTCTCTCTCTGTGTCTCTTTCTCTCTCTCTTTCTGTCTCTCTCTCTCTGTTTCTCTCTCCCGTTCTCTCTCTTTCTGTCTCTCTGTCTCTCTCTCCACTCAGAGTCAGTGTTTTTTGTTTTAGATCCATAGATGTACAGATCATTTAAACCTCAAATCCTGCAAGATTATAGTCAGATGACTCATATTTTTGTATTTTAATTTGGACACATTGGTCTTTTCTTACCAGTATTGACAGAGAAAGTTATGTTTCTGGCCCAAAATGTCCC